AATGCGTAAGAAAAAAGCAATTCCGACGGCATTCTAGATGACTGTGCTGCTGGCCTAGCTTGAGATGTTGGCCTCTTAAATTGTTGCCGTGAGTGAGCTCTAGCAAACTGCAGCCCGTATATTTGAGATCTCGCAAAATCTGGTAAGCGAGAATGAGGTCCCCGCGCAATCGCCGATATTGTCCGCTGTAGTCCACGAGCATTTGAAGCCTCCGTTCATCCGGCAAATTATCAGACCTTTGATGGTTTTAGTCTCCTGACGTTGGGGTATCTCCAAGGAGGTGAGATCTCTCTTTAGCCGTGATTGTCAAAACTGTGTTGTGAATTGTACATGTGTCCATATGTTTGAGCCGAGAAGTTGGGGAAGAATCGAAGAGTGGAATCGTCCGAAAGCATGCTTCAGGAGGCCCTCATTTTTGATGGCCCACCTTGACGCCGTTCTTTTATTCTGATTCGATCATCCAAGATCAACCTGGACAAAAACTCCCAGATCGTTCTCGCCAGACGACGTGTGAAGCTCCTGGTTGCCAAGTTTGTAGGAATGCACCAACGTGTGTCGTAGATGAAACACTGTACTTTTGTCCACATTTAATCGAAGTAGATTCTGGACAACGCAACTTAGCTTTTAAACGCTGACAGTAATACGTATGTTGAAATGCAGTTCTGAAGACAAGAGCGCCGGGTAGCCGTTCGAATGACTTCACGACATGCTGATGCAGCTGATTGTAGCGTGGAAAATGACAGATGTTGTGTATAAAGAAGGGCCAAAGCCCAGCGTAGGGATTTTCAAATAAATGTTGTAAGGCTGTAGGACACTTCAGTCAAGACCTAAATAGGATTTCAACAATGAAAACATCTCGCTTCTATCCATTGCTGCCATAAATGAAAACCACGTGGTTTGCCTGTATCCTGAAATGGGTTGATTTTTCGCCACTGTAGATTCAGAGAATTCCTCTAATTCTTCAACACGAGCAGTGTAAATGTAAAAGTAAGAATCGATTCGTGCCACAGCAGTTTCAACATTAATAGGACAACAGTCAGCTGGCGTTTGCAATGTGTTGTGAACAAGGTGAGCCACGCAACCAATTTCCGCAATTGTTTCTCAAATAGAAGATTTCCATTGCGCAAATACATTGCTTTGTCCGCTTCTCTGAACGCCACCGAAATTTCTGTTGGTGTTGTTAGCACAAAATCCCACAATTTTCTCCTCATATTTTTGCTCATATTATCTTGCTCGAGTACATTCTTCATAAATTGACAAATGGTGTCGATGTGTTATTAGTAAGTTAATGTAGAGCTAACAACTTGACCTCAATACCCGATGACGGCACAAAAGATCTCAAAAAGCTGCAAATACCTTCACTTCCTTGAGAGTTGAGGCGTCTGTGAAGATTAACACGAATTTTATTTTCTTCAGTGTTACTTGAATTTTATCTGGCAAATAGATACAAGGTATTTATTATTTAAATTATTGCTTTTATTAATATTAATAGTATTATTATTATTATCAATGCCTGACGTTTTATGCTGCATAACCAAACTTCGGTTCAAAAATCGAAGCCTTACCAGTATTCGAAATTTCGTGTATATTTAACGGCGCTGGCAAGGAAAGACCAGACCTTGACGGCCAACCACTCTCCTCTGCACGGGAATAACCTGCACGGCAGTGAAGGATGGAAGGGGCTATAACGCAGTTAGGTTCCAATTCGTAATGGTCGGCTGTCGTCCTTCATGTCACAGTGGCGTAATCTGCTTTCTAGTTGGCGTTAGCCGATAACGGTCATGGGTTCTGTAGCGCCCAAAAAGATAACTCTTATCTTTCGTGTACAGTTTACTTGTTGACCGATTGTACATTACTCCTTCTTGTTTTAATCTTACAACCGGCTCGACACACAACTGCCTTGTAAGTTCCCGCGCTCACGTGTACGCTCTTGCCTCGCTTCATCCGTCCGTTTATTGTTGTAGCCCATCGAATACAGTCCGCTGTGTCCGACTCCAATTGCCTTCTGATATCCGCGCTTAATTCCGCGCATCGTCTCGGACTAGTATTAACTAGTCCTACAAATTGGTGACCCCGATTCGCACGCGCGAATTCAACATTTTTTCTCGTTTGTATTTTTTGGTGAGTTCGTTTCTTTTTCTCGATTATATACCTATATTCATTTGTTTCTTGCGTAATTTTAGTACTTTATCGTATTTTGTTCGTTCTTTATCTTTCGACTCATTTCGAGAGCGGCATCTGAGTCGTTTCACAGCGTAACCATGCTTACTTTGGCTGTTCCAAGTTTCATGGAACACAGTCCAGAAGTTTGGTTTAAGATATTCGAGATCGAGCTAGAAAATAAGGGCCTAACGGCGGACCGTCCAAGGTACAATCAGCTCGTCCCACGCCTTCCTCCGTCGGTAGTGACGCTGATTGAGGACATTCTACTCTGCCCATCAAATGAGGCAAAGTATGAAACGATGAAGCAAGCGACATTGAAAGAGTTACGACCCAGCGCACGAGCACGATTTGAACAGCTCACTGGTCTCAAGCTTGGAGATCGCAAGCCGTCGACATTGCTCCGCGAACTACAGCGCATCGCTGGTCCCTTGTTCTTGAGCGAAGAAGGGATAAAGGAGCTGTGGTTTGCACGTCTCCCAGAGCCATTGCCGGTAATGCTGTCCATGTTTATAGATGCACCCTTGAAAGACTTAGCTACCAAGGCAGACGCTGCGTTCGAACGTTTTCCGCAGCAGACGACCAGTAACTCCGGTGACGTATTCTCACCGATGAAAACCGAATCTAATGTTTGTTCCCAGTCGCTAGACCGATCTGACTCTAAAGATGAGGAAATTGCGCTACTTCGCAGCAGGATAGTAGCAATGAAGGCTTCGAGGCAGCGTGTGCCACGGTCAAATGCTGACCACGTTTTGGCTACCGTTCATTGCGGCTCGTCTGTGCCTGCACCGAGTACGTCACGTTCGGCACGAAAGCGCCACATTTTCCTTACAAGTTCTCAGTCAGATAATGTCAAGCCCGTCGAAGCATTATGTTGGTATCACCGCCAATACGGTGGAAGAGCTAGACGTTGTCGGGCTCCCTGCATTAGGCACGACCCAGGGAAAACGAATATCCCGCATACTAGCACTGCAAACGTATCATTCAATAGCCAGGCAAACCGACTGTTTTACGTTAAGGAGCGACGTTCTTCCATCACCTTCCTCATCGACACGGGAGCGGAAGTCAGCGTCATTCCAGCGACCGCTAGCGACAAGCACTCGAAGCCTACGTACAATTTGCGTGCGGCCAACGGTTCTCCGATAGCTTCATTCGGTCAGCGCATGATGAACCTGGACCTCAATCTTCGCCGAGATTTTCAGTGGATCTTTATGGTTGCGTCTGTACCCTTCGCAATTATCGGTATCGACTTCCTCCGACATTTTGGGTTGCTTGTTGATGCTGGTCGCCACAGACTTTTAGACGACCGTACGAAACTAGGTGTTGATGGTGTCCTTTCAGATGCCCCGATAATCAGCCCTATATTTCGGATCGCAGACGCACCGTCCGACTACTTGAGCCTCCTCTCCGAATACCCGCGACTGGTTCGACCGGCTGCAGAGCTTCCACCAGTCACGACAGAGGTCGCTCACCACATAGTTACGCGCGGTCAACCAGTTAGCGCACGACCAAGGCGGCTTGCTCCAGACAAACTACGGGCAGCACGAGCCGAATTTGACCACATGCTTCAACTTGGTATCGTCAGACCGTCCAACAGCCCATGGGCGTCGCCTCTGCACATGGTCCCGAAGAAGGTTGTGGGGGACTGGCGTCCTTGCGGCGACTATCGATCCTTGAATACGGTAACCACGCCCGATCGCTATCCGATCCCACACATAGTGGATCTCACCGCCAGTCTGGCGGGTAAAAATATCTTCAGCAAAATCGACTTGGTACGCGCATACAACCAAATTCCGGTAGCCAAGGCGGACATCGCTAAAACTGCCGTGACGACTCCATTTGGTTTGTTCGAGTTTCTGCGCATGCCATTCGGTCTAAAGAATGCCGCGCAAACTTTTCAGCGTTTCATCGACCAAGTTTGTCGCGGTTTAGACTTCGCTTACGCGTATCTTGACGATATGTTAATCGCAAGCTCTTCACGAGAAGAGCACATACGCCACGTAAGAACACTTTTTGATCGTTTATCGCAACACGGGGTGACGATCAACGCAGAAAAGTGTTCGTTTGGTGTCGACGCAGTCAATTTCCTGGGCCATCGTATCTCTTCTGCAGGCGTCGTGCCACTGCTAGATAAAATTCTAGCCATCATCGACTACCCCGAGCCTCATTCTTTCAAACAACTCAGGCGTTTTGATGGCCTTGTTAACTTTTATCGACGATTTATACCCAACTGCGCCTCTCTGATGCAACCCCTCACGGACCTTCTCCGAGGGAAACTAAAGACGTTCGAATTTCCTACCGCAGCACGCGCTGCTTTTAAGTCGCTGAAAGAGGCTATCGCCAACATAGCTTCCATAGCGCATCACGATCCGACCGCCCCACTGTCCCTTAGTACTGACGCCTCGGACGTCGCGGTCGGCGCTGTTTTGCAGCAACGCTGTTGCTTTTGTGTTTATCTTAAACTGACACTGCATTAGTGTATTGAGCCAATGCAAGTTCCACACTATACCAACGCCTGGAATCTGAAGAAAGTTCACCTTGTATTCCTCCTATGTTCCATGACATGTTTGATCTACGTTTACCTAATATATCACTCTAACACATTTGGGGACCCACCGGAAGCGTTCATCTCCCAATGTGACAGCGTTCTCAAGGAATTAGATAACCCAACATCACTGCTCACCAGCCATCAGCCACGACAGGCACAATTAACAGTGCTCGACTGTTTTAAATTCATGAGCTTCGAGAATCGAACACTATACATTTCACCAGAGGAAAAGGGTTTCCCAATTGCCTACGCAATTTCCGCTTACGAAAGCCCAGGAAGATGACTTCGCCTTATGCGATTGATCTATAGACCCCACAATCTATACTGCATCCACCTGGATGCCAAAGCACCTCCAGAATCCGTACAAGCAATTAGTACGTTATTCAGTTGTTACCCATCCAATATTATTGTGGTACCGGATAATCAGAGAATTTCAGTTCATTGGGGATATTTCAGTGTGCTTCAGTCCGCCCTTCTTTGTACACGTTTGCTCTTGCATCACCAAACAATTGGGTGGAGATATATGCTGAACATAAATGAGAAAGAATTTCCTCTTCGTACCAATTGGGAGCTTGTGTCCGCCTTAAAGGCCTTGAACGGATCCAACATGATTGAAGGGATTCCAGGCGGGCAGTTCGCTGATCGATTTCCAAAGGCTAATCTATCGTTCAATGTGAGTGCAAATATATGTAGTGGCATTAATACACCAAATTCCATAGTCCACCCACAAAACAAAAAACATTAAGTATGTGGTAAGAAAGGCTTAGGCCTAATACAAAGTACGGGGGTCCTTGTGATCGTAATGACCGAGGTCCACTTAGGACCGAGGTCTGAATAGAGATTGCGAGTCGCAGTCAAACCACACAGCGAGTACACGAAATGCCACTTGAAAGTACGGGGTCAGTTTGTCGTATACTAGAGAGCGGTTTAATTGTGTGGATGTATAGGCAACTGTCTACTGAATAGACATAGTGCGACAAAACCATGGAAATCGCTAGAAAACAGCTTTAATCAACCCGTCCGGATAATGGCACATTAGCTGAAGGTTATCAACATGCTCCAGCTATTGCCTCGCAGTATAATAAACACGGAGCACTTTTTGTTATTTTGCACACGTCGCTTTTTTATTCTTTTCCCAATTGTTAAACAATCGTTAAGCATTAAGAATGAAAACATAAACCATTATGTGCACCGATCTTCCACTGGTTTCGATTGTGTGTAATATCTTGAATTGTTTCCAGCCATCGGTACTCTTCGTACTTTGGTCTGCAACCAGGCAGAGGTGTGGATTCAACGATGGCAAGACGTGAAGTTCACATGCTCTCGCCACGTTGACGGCTGACCGCCAAGCGGTCTCTTCCAGCTCATTCTTGCACGAGCGAAAAGGGCACAATGGAGCAAACGCTTAGCTGACACGCGTAGGACGTGACCAAGCCATCTAAACTGGCGCAGCAAAACCATCTTGTTAAAGGGAATACTCGCATTCTCTAAGACACGATATCTGACTTCACTGTGCCAGGTGTATTGCTGTCACCACACACGAGCCATACTCCTCAAGCACCCGTTGTCGAAGGCAGAGAGCCGGTTTGATTAGCGGCAATAGTAACGTGTGAGGCTGAATAGGTTGCGCGCAGGCAACCAGTATCTTTTGACTTGAGCCAATCGCTATGCAATCGCGACCTGCATATTCCTTCACTCAATGAAAACAATGGCAATAATAGTAATCGGCGCATCTCACAAATTGAGAGAACTGTGTCCATAATAGTCATAGACGGTCTTATGCCATTCCGACCATGCTTTTGATGGCTAACAAATGTCGTGTCAGTCAGTTCATGGTTCTGACACGGCATTTGATTCACCGGAGTGTACAACGTATAAGCCAAAGATGAAGATCAGGATACTTTGTGTGTGATCTACATAGTTAATACGCTTGTTTGATAACCGACTCATGTTAAGTCACTGAGCAGTTGTAATATTGTGGTAGGTCGTGGTTTGAGATTATGAACATACCTGGGAAGCTTACTCCTTGGCCCGTGTTCGTACCCTGACAAACAGCAGTCTTCTGTCACTGACTTCGGAATCATGCCATTAGTTTCTATTTCCTTTGTTGCTCATGAACAGTGTTATTTATTTCACTTAAGGTGACCTTGCCCAATCACAAGTAGCGATTATCGCGTGTGCACACCTTTGCTTTCACTGTCATCTGTTCTCTCATCCTGGTTTAGACTTTCTATTACGCGGGATTTCTCACAAAACTCGGTCGAAATGTCGCTCAGCTCAAGTTAACTCGAATTTATCATGCGAAAGTCCGTTCAGACCAGATCTGAAATCCCTTTAGTAAAATAGCATATCTAACTAGGAAGAAATTGCAGCGCACTTATTTGGCTGTTTATGAGAGTCTCCTTAGTCGAACTGTGATTCCGCTTTAGTTTAGACAAATTAAGTCTTGGCAAATTCGACGGTGCAGCATCAGCAAAGTTTGTTTCAATCTGTATGAAAAAACCGGTTTCATTTGAAATTTCTGACTATGCTCCCGATTGGTAGACGTCTTACAGGACAGATATCTGATGAAGAACTCCGTAGATTTTCGATAGCACTTCTGTCACTTTGGTATATACAATTGTAAAGGATATTGCATACTGAGGAATGGAACGAGTGTGAAGTGCACGATTCGACTCTGGAAGAGATAGCATGGATTTTGTTGGTTATGTTGCCACCGATTACCTGCTTATCGTTACTTAATGCTCAATCAGATAAGGGCAGAGAACGAAGGTTGTGTAACAGCTTCCAAGGTGATGAGCAGACATAGTTACCCAAGCTTGCTAATTGTTGGGCTTAACAGAAACACTTGGGATCGGTTAACCGTAAGACAGGATGAATTATTTGTAAGGTAAACACTTCATCGACACGTTGCATTACGTCTTAACGAAACTAATGATTTTTGATTAAGCAATTGATCGGAAACTCATCACACCGGACCTTATAGACATTCGACTTATCGTCGTTGAATAAACATGGCCGACTATGTTTAATGAATCTACGTACCTCTATTAAACCAAGAAAAACAGCGAAACGCCGAGTGTGCTATCGTGGCTTACACCACTAGGAGTTGGACTTGGGGAGGAATAACGATCAGGCAAGGCAACCACTCAGAGATGATGAAGAACAGTCTGTTAAATAGCCTCGCGCGCCAAGTGACTCCATCCCTCTCAGTAGTTTCCAGTAAAGCACCCGCTGTGTGCTTCCCACGCTTCCTTGAATACAACAACTGCTACATCACCGGAGTTAACGGATTCCGAAATACGGTGCAAACAGTACAATAAGGGAGGTTGCAGTAGTTATCATCATGGAAAATGGGCAAAGGTTTTATATATATATATATATATATATATATATATATATATATATATATATATATATATATATATATATATATATATATATATATATATATATATATATATATATATATATATATATATATATATATATATATATATATATATATATATATATATATATATATATATATATATATATAGGCTAACCACTTGCCTTGTGGGTCAGGTTATTGAACCAAAAGCTCCAGGTGGAGCCCCCAAGCAGATCTCCGAAATGCAATCGACATCTAGCGTGCGATTGCTCACCAATGCAATTTTAGGTCTACGAGTAAAACACTCAGCATCGGGTGCTGTAACGTGCGCACACTACTGGACTGTAACTCCAGTGAGCGTTCGAGCGATGCACTGCACTGGTCGCGTTGGAACTGGCGCGATACAAACATCGATATTTAGGAGATCAGCGGGACTCCGCTCGCTAAGCAAGGTAAGTTGAATGAAACTGGTACCGTTTATACTTTCAGCTGAGTGAGCAAATCCGCCTCAGCACCAAGTGAACATGGGGTCGGATTTGCAAAATCCGATTGCATAAACGGCCAGTTGGTGGCTGAGCCCACTGGTACCATCGTGGAACTGATGACGGTTCGCCTACCAATCGGACGATGTTAGTTCAGCACCTACATAAGAACGTGCGTTCCAATATGTGTTATCCTGATGACACGCGTGATCAATTCTACACTCAGTTATCCTCCGGGATACAGGTCTGTGCCGTTGATCGACCGACCATTTCTGCTGCGTGACTTCAACTCTCGTGTTGAACGTCGGTGTGGACAGATGTTATCCGTCCGCATGGAATTGATTCAGCAAATGCGACCGGTGACGGGTTGCTCTCACTGTGTGCTACTCACGGCCTGTTGCTCACGAACACTCGGTTTGAACTGAATGCGAGTGATATATCAACTTAAATGCACCAACCTAATGGTACCGCTCACCTGTTCAACAGTGTCATCGCACGTCAGCGCGACATGCGCGAAGTGTGCTTGACACGTGTACCGCGTGAAGCTGAGTATGGCGCTGCTCAAACATTGGCGCAGACAAATTCTACATTTACGTGTGGAAAAGTGCGTACTGTGCGCCCACCGTGAACCGGATGCATAGATTTAACATTCTCTCCCTCGGTACTGTAGCGAAATGTACTGAGCTGGAGAAGACAATGCCCGCACGCCCGTGTGATGTGGAATGCATAGCCACAATGGACGAACTGTAACACCATATTTGTGCTCAGGTCCGGGCTGCTGCCGAGGGAACCATCACATGCGCAAAATGCAAGCGCATCGATTGGTTTGATGAGAACAATGCGACGATTGGCGCATTGGTGTCTTAAAAGAATGTAAAAATTGCTGCACATGTAGCGTACACAAGTGACTTTCAGAATATAATTCCGCTATGCAGAATCCGCCGGCGACGGAACCGAGAGCCCCGTGGTGGACGGAGAAGGGGAAGCAGGTGGAATTCCCCGCCGAACGCCGCCAATATAAGGAATTGTTTCACTTCTTGTAGGCGGCATATGGACGGAGGTTGGTGCAGCTGAGTACGCAGATCGCTGGATGCTCAGGCGCTGCGTGAACACAGACTGCAGACGTAATGCAGAATTGGATGACTGTTCTTTTTCCATGGTGTGAAACAAAGCTTTGTCTTAGCTCCTGTTCTTTTTAAGATTTCTTTGCATATTATTTTTATTATTTTTATTATTATTATCATCATTCTTAAGCACTTGAGAAATGTACAGTTGGAAGTGGCACAACACATAGTTGACAACAACAAAATATGGAAAATTCTGGTGGCCAGTGAATGCATTTGGACAGTTTGAAATGTTGTGTTGTGTAGGCAGAGATCTTCCTGGTTGCCCAGGCCGAAGAACAGAGTTAACTTAAGGGACTTCACCTTGAGGCTTTAGTATTAAGACATAACCCGCAAGGTAGCGGGGCGATTAACGAAGACCGTTGACATTCAGGTGGCTCCTTCGCTTTCTCTGTGTTACTAGAAGTCCACGGAGAATCCTGTAGCCAGCGTGGTTGTTCATATGCTCTCCGTTATATACTCAACTCTGGTTACAGAAGTGAATGGTAAGTGACCCTACAGCCGGTCACCTTCGGTTTGACACAGCGCCGTACGAGCTCTTGTGGCATTTGATGGAGAACCAGGTGAAAAGCCTAGAATTGCAACGCTCTGAGACGCTGCCGCTGATTGTCCGCGACCGCTTATTCATCTAACCTACAAAGCAAACGCGACGTATTCGCAGTTACCTCCACAAATAAGGCGTTCCCCAGTCTAC